TAATTTAATTAATTGATTAGTTAAATTGAAATCAATATTTACACTTTTAATAAGAGCTAATTATAGCTATGAGCGGGTGGATGAGTGGCAGGGGACTCTTTTAATTTAACCAGAGGTTTTGGTTTTAAATTTTAGGAATGCAGATTTGTTAAAACTTGTGAATGAGAGTCTTGCCGCCCGTTGGGTCTTACCCGACTCGAACCTAAATTAATCGAACGTCTAGTGAGCTTTCGGATATCAGGTGATTTATACCAATAAAAAAAAGTTAATTATTAAAAATGTATTAATAAGCTAATTAGTTAAATTGAAATTAATATTTATACTTTTAATAAAAATTAATTATAGAAAAAATGTATTCATTACACATTCAGTCTGTGCTCTAAAAACACAAAATAGAAAACCCTTACTTAAATCCACATTATAATTAATTATAATCTTGTTTTAAAATTTGTGTGCGAATGTTGCATTTCCTGAGTCGAGCGACATTGTATCAACTAATGGCTAACCTGTAAAAACTTTCTGGAATTGAGGCCAACCAAACAGGCCATTGAGGAATGGTGCTGGGAAGATTTTGAACCATTGATTTGTGTGGGCCCGCCGGCCCAAAACGCGAAAGGCAATATCGTCAGCCGGAGTTGCGGTTTGGTTTGATTTGGACTTCAATTTACCTTCAAGCCCAACTTACATGAACAAGATAAGGTCGTGTATATTGGGCCCAACAAGACGCGGCCCGACCCACATAAATTACACTAGAAATATGGTTTTCATCTCTTTTCTTTGGGTTAGTGTTGCAACCATTCCACTCTTCAAAAGTTACCTATTATCTTAACCACAAGTTTACGGGTTTAATTTATAGTCTGTGCATATCAAAGAATAATACTGCACCGGGAGAAAGTACCACGAACATGCAGCAAGCATGCAGAAGCTACTCTGCAGCTCCACCAACTACAATAGGCCGGTGCAACTTTGTCAAAATGGCCACACAAGTCCACAAAAATGGCCACCCAAGTCGACGAAAATGGCTAACTTCCAACTGTATTTTGCTTTTTATTTATTACCTTAGTTGGATTTTGCTTATAAACAGTCATGTTCCCTCTGTTGTATGCATCAAATTTTAATAAAAAATTTCAGTATAATTCTCTTTTGTTGAGTGAGTTTTTGAAAGTGGATTTCTCTCAATTTATCTCTATAATTTAGGTCCTGTCAACCTAAATGGTATTTCAGATAATCGAATTCATCATAGTGAGATTCTAAATTTTGCTAAAATCGATGTTTCTGTACCGGCTCCTACACCAAATACACATGGTGTGACACTAGCATTTGGGCTAATAAAAAATGTTTAGGTATTACAGAGCATGCCATTCTGTTCCACGTTCATGAACAGAGCGATGGTGTGTTAGCACTACATACATTAAACAACAAAACAGACGGTGACTTTTGTGCCTTATGAATAAATATAGCATAAATAACAAAAAAAAAAAAAAAAGAAGAGAGATTAGCAACAAATGGGAGTATGTTTACCCAAAGGAAATGGAACCCTATTGTTTCCCCAAAAATCCTCTAGTAGCCTTGCACGTGTGAAATCTAGATGCGGACGTGTCACTTACTTTGCTGAAAGTAAGAAAGGAAGACTTTTCCAACGACTCTCTCCTTCCTCACGGTCGACCTTCTTGTGGATGGCGAGAAGAACGTTGGATCAAAATTGAAATCTGCGCCTACAGACGATTTGCAAGAGGGAGGGATACCTTCCTACAAAATGGGTTACAAAATCTGTTTTGGACAACTCTAAGGACTTAAACACTACTGTGACTTAAAATTATCAAATCCTAATTGAACTAAATAACTTGCAATTTAAAATAAATTTACGAGAACAAAACGTGCCTAAATTAAATTAAACATGTGCATTGTTAAATTAAAATAATATCCACTGGTAGATGTGAAAATTAAAATGCTACAAAATTAAAGATTTTACCCCAAGTAACATTAAAATTAACGTGAACAGTAATTAAACTAACATGCTTGAAGTTGAAAAGAAGTGTGAACACTACATAAGTAATCATTGAATAAAATACTACTTATCATAAACATTAAATTAATTGCAAATAGAAAGATAACAATACCTTGTATAAACTTGAAAGATTGAAGTTCATTGCATGAAAGGAAATTGTTGAACTGAATACATGAATTAATCTATCTACTAGGATGATGAAAAACAATCTAAATCTACTGGAGATTGTGCTGAAATTCGAAATCTTGAAGCAATTTGCAGAGAAAGTAAAGTCTGAAAATTTATAGATGTTTAAGTAGGGCTGGCCGTCTGTTCTCCCTTTCAAAATTTTCCTTTTGTTCTTCTTGTGCTGGTAGTAACTTCCACTTTCTGCAGTTACTCAATCATGAGTGGTTTTTTAAGATAATGGGACAGCCCACCAATTGATTTGGTCTTATCTCCTTGCAGATTTTCATCATCTGTTTTTATATCAGATAAAACTAGGGATGACAATTTTCCACGATCCCCGCGGGGCCCCACGG